CAATTTTAAACCCTGCAAAATTTTTAATTTACATAATTTTTTAAATTTTACAAACATTTTAGTTTCGCAAATTTGTAGATTATTAAAATGTTTGAATCATGCACAATTTTGCATAGTTAAAACGTTTTGCCTGATTTACAAAATTTTCATAATCTAAAATTTTGCAGACTTTGACATAATTTAAAAATTTGGTATAATCGCATTATATTTTTAGCCGAACTAATGGACCTCGGCTATACCGTGGCCGTACCAAAGGATGCAAATCCTGTGCAGCATCGTTTACCAGAACTCAAAACACTTTTTCCGCACACCGAAATAACTAAATTAACCACTTTTTTCCGCGTCGTCTCAAACTTGGACGAAGCGGAAGACGCATTTCTTCACGACCCTGAAAACGTAGGTTTTACCGGAGTTTTCCTAAAAGGACTGGGAACAAGTAAGAAGGGGGCGGTGAAGGCGTATATTCAAAGATTACAGAAAATTACATCGAAAAATTGTTACGAATTTGAAGAAACGTTTTCCCAAACAATGATTTTCTGGGTGGTTCAGAATCCCCTAAGGGCCCCCATTATTAGGGGAATTAATGCTTTGGAAGCTGCCGGAATTTCAACCTTGTTGGAGAAATATTACGCCTATTGGGGTGAGATGAGGGTGAGGGAGGAAACCGGGAAACGGTTGGAGGTTAATGCTAGTGGCAGTTTGTATGTCAGGTTGACACACTTGGTCCCAATTTTTTGGACGTGTGGCTGTATGTATGTTTTAATAGGGTTGGGAATATTGCTCCTGGAAAGGAAGGTTAAGTGTAAAATTTTTGCTGTAAAAATGCAAAATATCTTAAAAATTGTAAGAAAATCTGCCCAACAATTACGAACTACACTGGGAAACCCATGTCTTTGCAGAATGAAATATGACGGACCTGGGGGATGCAAAAAATGCTTATCATGGAACGAGAAAAGTTTGTGTTTCACCCGGAAAAATGTGTACAAGAGAACAAAAGTTAATCAAACTTTGGAGTCTATAAATACATGATATTTACATATCGATTTTCAATGTAAAAGTGAATAATAAATATGTTTTTTCAAGAACATGGTTCTATCGTACCATTCCCCTGCATGGGACATAAGTGGAGGGAAGTTTTTGTGGAGAGAAAGCCGGAATTAGTGTTTTTGCATACTTCCTTCAATTTCCACGTTTCTACGGTTGTCTTCGACATAACTGGAGGCTCGTTCCATTGTACGTTTTAATCCACTGGAAAATTGTGAAACAGTCCGGCACTACAGCTTTGCAAGAGTTTTACAAAAAAGGTTGTCGATTTTATGTATGATTTTATCTGCAAATTTTTATCTTTTTTATGAGTACATTTGTGTATTTATTTGTATTGTAGAGTTTTTATAAAATATATTCTGGACGTAGTAACCATACAATCTTCGTATATCTATCAAATTTACTTGAAACATATTTAGCTCGCGAAACTTTGCGAACTTTCAAAAAAAAGTTTTCCGGCAGAGTGTCTCTAAATAATATAGAGGCACAGTTCTAAATTTGTAGGTAATGGTTACGGAGACATTTTTCACCAACGGATAGTATAAGTCCAAAATTCATATAACGAACAGGAGTAAACCCTTTATTAAAAAATTTGTACTTTATAAATCTTAAAAAAATCTGACTGCAGATTTTAATTCTTATTTTAAATCTATTCGTTAATGTCCATTTTTAAGGATACGTCAAACTAGGTAGCACAAATGTTCTTAATGCTTTAGGAAATTTTCAAAATCATATTCCGCCAACCTTCTCAGGGTACAAGTTTTTAGAGCTTGACAAATTTGCTAAATTACTAAGATACTGTCGTTGGTACGTCTAATCTTATTGAATTTTCGAAAGCATTCCCAATTATAGCTCGATCGTTTCTAGTGTATAATAATGAATCCTCCATATCCAGGGAGAGTAATGCGTAACGATCTTTAAGTTTCGCCACCGATAAGCTAAAACATTTCCACATTGAACAGATTAAAGCTTAAGGAAGATACACGGGAAGAATTATTAGCCATAATAACAGGCCTAAAATAAGATCGAAATCCAAACTAATGATTCGATCGATATTATCGATCGAATCATCTCAGCGAATAAATTAAACAAAATACTGTAGTATTTTTTAATTTATAAAGTTTTTTAAAATGTTTCAAGGCGATCTTAATTATCACCTCTGGAAAAATCGAGTACTTATGGACAGCGAAGTACTTTATTATGAGCAAAAGAAGTGTGTCTGTAAAAAGCACTTATTATATTCTCGATCATAATACATACGTACTTTCATTGCTCATAAGTACTCGATTTTTTCCAGAATTTTATAATACACGTTAAGATCGCATTGAAATATTAAATTTTAAAAACTTTTAAACAACTTGGATTTCATTATGATGAGAGGAAGTATTCGAGAAAAAGGTAATATATATTCTCATAAAGTATTAAACTATGATCAGTTAAACAGGACTATTTCGAAACGGATACAAATTCTAACATGGACAAGTAGGATTTGCATATTAATTGAAATTGGATTGCAATAGTAGTGAAAATTGTTGTTCAATGTATTACTTATGTAAAACCTAATAAAACCCAATAAAACCCACAAAACCCATTAAAACCCAAAAAACCCATTAAAACCCATTAAAACCCCTGGGTCGTTACTTTTTGATTAAAACCCTGGGTTTTTCCGAACCCTGATCGATATCGATAAATATGTATTTAAACGCAAATAACGATGGTGCATATATGTAATTTGTCCATAATTAATAGACGATCGGTAAAATGTGATGGCATGCAAATATTTAAAACTCAAGATAACAAATTTTCCAAATACAAAAAATCATTACTTACTAAGCAGTTTATAAACAATAATAAATGACAAAGTTTGGTGAATAAGTAAGTATATATGTACAAATTATGTTGTATTACTACGTATATATATACATATTTACCTGGTTCGAACTACAAATCTGTTACGCCCAGGCCCAAGGCCTATTTACGTATTCATGAAAGTGTTTTCAAATCTCTGCTTACTCAGTTCCTGAATGAGTACTACTTTGAGTTGGCCAGTGCATGTACATATGTATTTATGGTGGACACTTTTCGTTTGTCTCATCTTTAAACTACAACCCCATAAGACTGCAATTTTCGGGCGAATTAACATACATATATCCCGGAATCATTATTTATTATTGAAACACCTTCCTCAAATTTTGTGCCTAGTCTTAAAATAATTAACTCGCCTCGTGTACATACATAATTATGTGTGCAGCAGGGTTTCCTAAAACTGGAAATTTTACATATGGTCTTGCTTAGAAGCACGTGGTCTGTATGAAATGTAATGTATTTATGAAAGCATCATATAATTAAAATTATACGATGCTTTTATGAATACATTCCTATAGAAACGAAGGAATTGATGGTGTTCCAGTTTCATGCGCTACTCATCTTCGTCTGGGTGGCTGAAAACTAGCAATTATCCTATTTATATGTATGTAATTAACTACATAGATACCTAAATGTGTGCATAGGTGTACAAGGAAAAGTTTTTATGCAAAATACGTAACCATTGTAACAGGAATTTTCGGTTTAATGCTTTTGCTTTATTTAGTTGAAATCCCATTGTAATTAAATTGGGCAGGCTTAAGAAAATCTTAGTTTAAGCATTTAGGAATTACTTTGCAGAGGTTACTCATTAGCTTTTACACTAGCTATACAACAATTGGGACAGGATTTTTGCACGGGCAAGTTAACAAGTCAAATAGTTTCTACCCAAAACGTATACCAGGATAATTATTACATTAATAATACGAGAGGAAAACCATACAGAATGCGGACACCTGGTCTAATTAAGTTGTATTTTGCTTCACTTTAAATTTAATTTTTGAATTTAAAGATATTTACATGTTAATGAAATCCAAAAAGTAAGGCAATTAGAATTACTGTATCTATGCATACGCATGTATGTATGTATTGCTGCCTAATTCGTAATGTATATTCTGCAATAAATTCTTTAAAAGGAATTGATTACATAATTCTAATTCACTGATACAAGGATTCCACAGTTTAGTTGATTGAGTAATAAAACAAAGGGTGAACATGTTAATGTGTCACATGATAGTAGAAGTTAATAATTTGATGTTACACATTCAACAATTTTTGTTCCCAATTCTTACCTATTGAGGAAATAATTCTCTAGCATTTTTTAGAACATAGTTTAAGTCGTTTCGAATATATTTCAACGGATTGCTTAGTCTTTCTTTTAAGTGTGGAATATACTTCACAATTTTACCCTCCTGTAGAGCTCCAATCCCAAATTTTTCCGTAACATTTTTATAATTTTGTGCCAATTGCTCGTAAGTGCCCCCTTCCGCATAAAAGTCAGCGAAAGGTCGTAAGACAGACATCTCACTTGTTTTTAACAACTCTATGATATCATGTAGTGATCCAATTTTGCCCTCACATTCAAGTTCCAGAAGATAATCGGCGATGCGTTCGTTGTCAAATATTTTACTCGGATCAGAAACAAATTCATGCATTATTTCTTCGAAATTTTCCAAGTTTATTCCATGTTGCTTGCAAACATTTATCCAGCAGGAAACAATAGTGTCCTTCCCGTTTCTCTTAGCTTGTTTAAGAGCAACTCCGTACAATTGTATAATAACCAACTTTGCTCGAAACTCAGGAACCAATTCGGACAATCCAATCTCCAAAGTGTGATGTGGGTTAATTACATTATAAATACCTGTTGGCGCTTCTGTGTTAAAGAATATTGAAATGCAAATTTCTGCACACACATCAGGTGGTAGTTGGATTAATAATGCGTCCGTTTCCGGTATGAGTCCTGTACTTAGTAAATGAATAACCCACTTCAACGCATGTGTGGTTCCACCGTTCAAATCTTGTTTTCCTGTTTCACTTGCACCACTAACTGTTGGAAATCTGAACGCTTTACATGGAATTCCCCTCTCCACTCCTTATGAGAGTAATCGGTCTCCAATAAATTTTGAAATCCCATAGCCAAACTGGCATGAGTAGTTGCCTTTTGCGGGCCACTCCTCCAAACCCTGGAGTTTGTCAGTCACGCCGAAATTTGGCGAATAGGCTGCAATGGACGAAGCCGCATTGATCCACTTAATTTTGTATGTTGCCGCGAATTCTATAATTCGTTGAGTCCCTTCTACATTAATGCTTTTAATTAAAGACGAGCTTTCATAAGACCAGAGATGATCCCCATATATTGCAAAGTGAACTACAGCATCGATTTCATGGGCGAGTGCGACATACGCCGATTCAACCAATCCGAACATGATCAAAGCGACATCCCCTTCTACAACGTGAATTTTGTTAACACATGTCCTATCCAACAGGTTGAAGAACGCTAATCTGGAGTTAATCCGAAACATTGACGACTCTATGCAAAAACCAATTTTTAGATATAATATTCCAAATGTTTGGTAATTAAATTTAAAATGCAACACACCGTCTTTATTGATTCTAGGTCGTACCAGACAAACAATTTTCTCAACTTGATGTAATAAGGATATCTGTTGAAGCATGTAAGGTCCAAGTGTTCCGGTAGCGCCAGTAAGAAAAATGGTTTTCACCTGACCAAGCCGCACGAGTTGTACACATTTTGGCGAAATCTGAATGTGATCCCATAATTTGGAGTCTTGATTAATTAGTTTAGAAATATCTTCGCTTTGTTTTAGTGAGTCATTAGTGTTTATCAGGTTGGATATATGTTTCACAAGATTTTCGAGGTCCTCGCTATCGGCAAAGTCGTTAATACTCAACTGCACCTTTCCACCAAGCAAGTTGGATGTTTTATTCTTAATCTCAATCATCATTAATGAATCCAACCCTAGTTCAGAGAATTTACGATTGATCCCACTATTTTGCTCCAGCTGAAGAACTGAAGATACAAGTCTCCCCATATGGTATAGAATGACTGAATTTCTATCGGTTTCGTTTTCACAGGCATCAAATTCCGCATAAAACTTTTCAGAGCTGAGGAAATCAAGTTTGTTGGTCCCAGCAAATTTTCTGTGGTGGCCCCTCTCAGATTTTAAGATATTTACTAAAAAGCTGTCAGTCCAAGGAATCCGTTGAACTAATTTGGTAACATTCATGGAACTTGTGCATAGTTGAGCATGCTTGGAGTTTAAAGCAAGTTCTAATGCAGCAAGAGCTTGTTTTGTGGACATGGGATGCAGGCCGGAAATACGTTGTCCCGCTGCTAGTCCAACTTCACCCCACTGGCCAAAGTTCAAAGAAATAGCTGGAAGACCTAGAGCATGTCGATAATGCGCGAGGGCATCAAAGAACGCATTTGCGGCCGCATAATTTCCCTGCCCTGGGTTCCCAATTAATGAACTAATCGAGGAGAAGAGCACAAGATGCTGCAGGGTAAATGTTTTAGAAAGTTCGTGAAGATTCCATCCACCTTGGAATTTTGGGCATAGAACTTTGTCTAATGTTTCACTGGTTTGGTTAAGGAAGACGGCGTCAGATAGAACTCCGGCACAATGAAATATCCCCCGGAGCGGTGATTGAGGGAATTGCTCTCTTATCCAGCAAAATATAGATTCACAGTCAAACAACTTACTTACGTCGCCACATTTCCAGATTACGTGGAATCCTATTTAATTATTTTTGACAACACTGTTAAAAATTTGTTATTACTTCACAGGCTCATGACCATGACTAGAACTTACCACGATTATTAAGGTCACTAATTTCTTTCTGGCGGTCAGAGCTTGGTATTTGTCTACCCATCAGGAAAATCAGCTTGGCACCATTCTTCAACATCCATTTGATTAATTCCCATTCAATGCCTCCACATCCACCAGTGATGAGATAGCTATTTTTGCAACTGAATAGCTTATTTTGCTTATCAGGCATGCTGACAACTACTTTCCCAATATGTTTCGCCTTTTCTAGGAATGACAAAGCATCTCGTATTTCTTGGGCTTGGAAGTGAACATAAGGCAAAGGCTGCCAAAACCCCGTTGCTATGTTTTCAAGCTGAGATAAAGGTGCTGAACTGTCCTCTGATAAGCTTAAATCTTCAATAGAATATGTCACATCAGGCCGAAGCGCCATGCAGTCCTCTTTGGTCCAAACGTTGATTTTACTCATTTCGATAAATCTTCAAAACACCATGCAAATGTTAAGTTGGGCATGAATCACAGCTAAAAATATGTATACCTGCCCCCCTTCCTTAGACAATTGAGAGAAGCTTCCTTGAATCCACGACCTGTTAAAGAGTTAAGAACTATGTCGACCCCAGCTCCATCAGTGGCAGCACTTATGTCAGTCTCGAAAGACAAGTTCCTCGAGTCAAAGACGTGCTTTATTCCCATTATATTCCTTAGGTACGCCCGTTTTCTCGAACTTCCCGCCGTGGCTATGACATTTGCCCCAACTGTATTTGCCAATTGCACGGCGGCTAATCCGACACCTCCCGAAGCTGCATGAATCAGTATTGTATCGCCTTTCTTCAATTTAGCAACAGTGCACAGGCATTGATAAGCAGTCAATGCTACAGTTGGAAGGGTCGACGCTTCTTCATGGGTTAAAAAATTTGGAAGCTTGCAAACCCTCTAATTTTAATTAAGCCGACAAGAAATTAATTACCTAAAGATTAAAAAGACTCGTATTTCTAACTCAACTGCTTACATTCTCAGAAGTACTAATATGTGAAGATAGTGCCACATTTTGGTGATGACAGCCAAACACCGTGTCCCCAACTTGAAACTTATATACCGAACTTCCAATTCGGCTAATAACTCCTGAGAAATCGCTTCCAATAATATTGATTTTAGCAAACGCTTCAGTTTGTTTAAGTACGGCGAAGATGTCACGAAAGTTTAACGAATAAGCATTGACTTTGATTTCTAGTCCTTTCTCTTCCAACTCAGTAACCGAGGACATATCCATCAATTTTAAATCTGAAATGATATTTGATGCTGGAAGCCGTAGACAAAATCTGGATGCTTTTGGCAATTGAAGAAAGGCGGGACGTTTTAGCTTCACCAGTTTTTGAGTCAGTCGATCACCTTCTTGATAGAAAATGCCACCCCCAGTTTCGACGCTTGGATTTTGAAAAAGTTCTTGCATAATATTTACGGCATTCCTGTGGCTTAGGGAATCCAGATCAATTAATTTACAATTTAGCGCAGAATTTTCGGCCTTAAATGAACGCAACATTCCTATAAGTAAAGCAGCGACTGGTTTTTGCGCAAACTTTTCTGCATTGATAGACATGCAATGTACCCCTTGCGTTAGAAGAAGTAATTTAGACAACCTCTCTGAGTAAACGACGATTGCCTGGAGTAGGTGAAGCCACCTTTCAATTATCGCATCATCCAATGCAGACGTCAATCCCCGTCCAAAGATTATTCCCTCGATTTCAGAAAAGTGAGATAATATTTGCATGAACTCCTTTTGGCTGCGACCCATCGTTTCAATATAATTGGTTGACATTTTGTTCTGCTGTCCAAATGTAATTAGCGAAACTGATTTTTCCAACGTGTTTAGTTGTCCCATTAAATCGTTTGTGAAGGTGTCATGCAATCCGAAAATCAACCAGTTTCTGTCCTTTTCACAAACTGACGAGGTTGGGACCTGCTTAGAGACTTGTTGTATTGAATCTTTACTCCACTCGAATTCAAATATTGGACACTGCTTTGCCTGATTTAGGATGAAATGCATATGGTCGTCGAAACTTAACAAGTCTATTGGAAGAAAGTCAATTCCATCCATGGATATTAATTTTTTGCCGAGACAATTGTATAAGCTTATTGTTCTTGTGTTATGGCATTTCTTGACGTAGAACTTTGTAGTTGAATCAGTCTGCTCTTGAGTTTGACTCATGTTGTAAACCTTTAGACACCGGATCGCCACAGGAAGTTTTATGGTATTTTCGATGGGTGCTTCCAAGTCTTCCACACACATTATAACAAGCTGTAGCATACTGTCTATTAAGATTGGATGGAGTATGAGTTTATCATCTGGAATATCAATAGGTGACTTAGTAAACGGGCTAATCAAGAAATATAAATTTATTTGTCATTTCTTTACCAACATCGCAGAGATCAAGTTTGACTTCAGCATACTTGTTTAACATATGGTCCTCCCATAGGGACTTGATGCATCGAAAGGATGGTCCAAAATAATATCCTTTGACGGTTAATCGTACATACATAGCTTCGGCGGAGACTTTTGCTGCTGAGTAATGGTCTTGAATTGGTGGAAATACATCTAGACTGCAGTCTAATTATTTCAACAAGGATTCATTAAATGCTCCTTCTGAATGTAGAATCCATTCATCTGTATCAAAACTACGACTGTAAATCTTAACCAGGTTCCCCTCCAGCAGAGTATGATAAGATGATCCAGTTTGCGTAAGATGGCCAGGTGTTTGAACACTGAAATTGTCAATTGCCAAATGATTCACATTTCGATCTAGTGTCAGGTAACGTGACGCCAAACTCAACTCTGCGAACCCTGCGGCTGGCATCAATGGCCACTGCCCGATGCGATGATCACCTATCTAATGGTTCGATTTAAGAGTTATAATATTTTCAAATCTATTTGCCTTCACATCTCCAGATCCAGGTTGTTCTATCTGTTTCCCTAGAAGGGGATGGACCGTATCCTTCATTGAAGAAGTGGAATAGCCCTTGGGTTGAAAAGGGAACCAAAATGGATTTCTTTGGAAGGGGTAAAACGGGAGGGAAACCTTTTTCTTATTATGAACTGCATGGAACTTTTCAAAGTTTATTGAAACCCCTTGTACAAACAAATTGCCAACAGCTCCAAGAAACTCTTCCAGCTCATTACCACCTTTCCTCATTGATTTGATACATTGAGGCATAAATGTCAAGCTAGATTGAATTAACGCTGAAAGTACTGGGTGTGGCCCGACTTCTAGGAAGATATATGTTTCACCCGAATTATCCTCCTCAATATGCTTTCCGATAGTCTTGCTTGTTTTAATAAATTGTACAGGGTCTCGCAAATTAGAAACCCAATATTCTGAAGATAAAGACGATTTTTGAGTACCATCAACGCTTGATATGTATTTACAGGTTGCTGGTATGACTTCTTTTCGAAGGGAGCTTAAAACGTCTCTGTATTCATTTAATATTGGATCCAAACCTCTAGAGTGGAATGCATGTGAGGCATCTAGGATTGTAGCTCTTACGCCATTGTTTCGACAAAATTCTGCAAATTCATCTACTAGAGAAGGTGGGCCAGACACTGTAGTTTGTTGTTCGGAATTGATTGCAGCAATATCCAGCCAGTCTGCGTTTGTACCAGTACGTGACTTCAAAAATCTGTCAATTAGTCGCGCACTTGTGTTTTTGTTTGCGCTGGCCAACATTTTTCCTCCAGGAAGTGTGTCAATTAGCATGCATCGTGCTCCAATCATCGTAAGTGCATCTTCAAGTGTTATGAGTGAGGCGGCAGTGGCTGCAGCATACTCACCTAAACTATGACCTACGACCATATCTGGATGTACCCCAAGTGACGCCCAAAGTTTAAGCAGACAATACTCAATGACCAAAATTGAACACGATGAGTAAAACGATTGGTTTAGATAATTCTTAGATATCTTATCTCCCCAGAGAGAAGTTTTGATGTCAAGTCCATACATTTTGAAAATTAATTGCGAGCAGAGGTCAAAATGTTCCTACAAATATATATTTAAAATTAAAATCACCATGAAGGTAAAATCTCCAAACAAGTAAACTCACTTTGAAAACTGGGAAGGTGTCATAAAGTTGGCTGCCCATTCCACTACGTTGCGTTCCTGGAAAAAGGAAGCAGATCTTTGGTTCCCTTTGTGAAATTCCAGATAACCAATTTTTCGTATCCAGTTTTTGTGAGAATTCTTCATTGTGTCTAGCAGTGATTGCTATTCTATTTGCAAATTTTGCTCGTCCAACATTAGCAGTATATGCTATATCATCTAATCTCATGTCTTTGTTATATGACAAGAAGGTCTTGTAATTGTCAATCAGTTCCAATAAGGCTTCCTCAGATTTTGCCGAGAACGTTATTATATTAGCATTCATGCTTGAAGTATTATTATGCATATTAAATTTGGATATTGGGTATTCTTGTAAAATAATATGGGTGTTTGTCCCACTGAAGCCAAAGGAACTCACTCCCGCTACTTTTGGTGTCCCAAGTGGCGACCGCCAAGGCATATTGCCAATTTTATACATTATTCATTTTTTCTCCAATTCAAAATACATTGGGCATATTGACAAGTCTATCTATATGGTGCGATCAGCGTACGGCGAATTTGGAAGAAAATGACTAAATGATGAATTATGAAGTGATTTTTATTTCAAAATTTGAACAAATGAATAATGGAAAAATAATTTTCAATATATTTTAAATTGAATACAATTTGAATGAGGAGTTATTTTTTGAACCTGTACGGTCCACCTATTTACATATTTACCAGATGATATACTGACTACCACCTAAATGGATAAAAATTTAATATGCGACGGCAGATTATTATAAAACAAGCCATATGTACATCCATATATGTACAAATCATTTATTCTGTCTGAGTTTTACTTATTAGCCATCCATATATTATGCTATCAAAAATTCTCGATTTTAGAACGCACAAACGAATACGGTAAGAGGGAATTTTAACACGGAAAAGTTAAGAAAACCAAACCCACCCACCCAGTAAAATACGATGATACGGACGTTCCCTAAAGACAGCACTAAAATATTTAATTTATTTAATCGCACTTACCAAGAGCTGACTCCAATTCTAGAATCGTACAGTATCAAAACTTTTTTAAAAGTTTTCGCCTCCTTTATGGATTTCAGCAAAATTAAGGCGTCTTCTACTTCGGTATCGTTGCAGGCAAATGTTGCGTACGCATCTTTCCCCATTTTTATAGCAAGTTGATTATCTTTTTGTGAAAGAGATTTTTAACACAAAAAAGTTTTTTAGCAGGACTTGAAGTTACAAAGGAAACAAAATTATGCAAGACTGGCCTGGTGTATTGAGCTGCCCATCTATTTATCGACAATCCCAAGGTCCACCTGCTGCACAGGAACTTGCAAGGCGAAACTTAACAATGTAAGACTCAGATTTTCGCAAAAAATCGAACATCTGCTTCTTCAGAATGGCTCACTCAATTTATAAAAATCCGACTTATTTTATTTTGCAACTTTAAAAATTTGCAGAGATTAGTCTTTCTTTAAGATTTTGAAAGCTGGAGTAAAATTACGAAATTCGAATTTCGCCGTAATTGGGTTTCCATAATTCGGGGAAATCCATTTGATGAAAAATGTTCTCGAAGTTTTTAATGATTAGTTAATTTTTTTCTAAAAGCTTTAGGATTTTGAAAATCCGTCGTTTGGCTGAAAACCGGTTTAAATTTCGATGCTCGAAGTCTTTAAGGCATTACGAAAAATAAAAAAATATCTAAATACCTAAATTACCTACACTCTTAGGCAACTGGTATTGAATTATTACGAATCATTACCGGATGGACTACATATATGACTCTACCGGCATCGGTAATATCGATCATTACTGCGTAGTAATGACGTGGTAATGAAATCTATACCACTCAGAATCAAACTATAACCAATCCGGTAAGGAATTATTACGAAATCAATACCAGCACGGGGTACATATATGACTCTACCGGATGCTTTACATATATGTAAATAACATACCTATTCTTATTCCCTGTTGTTGATAAAATGGTCCCATATTAATCTGAGATTTACAAGTGAAAGACTTGCATTATAAGTGAAAACTAATTATGGTTTGGGTAGGTTGTACCGTATATTGTAAGTGTTCCACACACCTGGTTATTTGTTTTTATAAGTTTTATTACCATCATCCTGTTCATGAGATTTTGATTGTGAGTTTATTAATTCATATTTAAGTAAGCATCTATGTACATACTTGAGTAAAATGAAACTTGCAAATTTAATAGTCCCATTGTTAATGTCTGGAATTTCCCAGCAAAGTAGAAGTCTCAACATGTCGCAATAAATGAAGAGCGTGACCCCGAAAAAATCCAACAATTCATGGACTCCCTGCCTGAGAAACCGTACACCAAAGACGTCCCGTTATGGGAATGCATATCCTTGCCAAATTATTGCAACAGTAAATATCGCACAAAATCTGCCATAATCTGGCGGCTTCATCACAGTTATGCCGACGGTTTGGGATTGTTGTCACTTCTGAACGATTTTTTTGACAATCATGATTCCGAAAAGGGGACAGAATATAAGGACAATTTTAAAAAGCTGAAACCCTTGAAATTGAAGTGGAACATTTGGAATATACTCAAATTGATACTCGTCACTCCGACGAAAGGCATTTTCCGTTTTTTGAAAGGGATAGATTCCAATCCTCTCACAATCGGGGAGCAAATGCGGACTGGAGAAATGGTCCGGTTTCAAAATCTGGAAGCCCTCGATATGTCCGACCTCAAACGCATTTCCCGCCGCACTGGGTCAAATATCACGTCCGTCTTGTTCGCCGGTGTGGCTGATGCGATGATGAGAGTCTTGAAGGGCAGGGGAGCGCCTTTTGGTCAATATGCGACAGCAATTTATATGCTCCCCAGTGTCTTTGGTACTCATCCTGGGACCCTGATGAATAACTTGTAAGTAGAAAGGCTGAGAGTATGTATGGCGGGAGAAACGGAGGGACTAAAATCTGTGATTTCGAGTTTATCTGTATTACGCATCGCTCTCTACTTAATCTAATTTGTTATTATTAGTGATGTATCGTGTCAAGTCTGATGTCACAATGTCATACAACCAAGCAAATGTCAAATGCATCGCTTGACAATGTACAACTTTTCAAGTTAAGGCAGGTCCAACCACTCCGACCTCTGTTTGAGTTCTGCGCTATGCACATCTATGGTATCACATTTCTATGTAAATGTGATCTATTTTTGTCAAATGTCGTATTTCTGAGACCATTTACAACCGACATCTGCCAAATACTAAATAGCATGATACATATTTGCGACACATTCTATAGAGTAAGAATTATAGGATTCGACAAAGGAATCCGCCAAGTATTTCAAAAGTGAAAATTATCTCTTACATTATGTTCCCCCATATGAAAATACTATGGTTTGACCAAAATTTAGGGGGTCAAAATTTTCCCCGGGGGTGGGGGCATTATTGGATTTGAAAATTATGGAAAGTCGGCGCAAGATATCTGTGGAACGGGTGGATGAAAATTCAAAATTATTTTTTTGTTACACTCTTTGGATCAATACCCCCAGGTATTTTTCGAATTACGTGAAAATTCCAACTTTCAGGGGTTTTCCGCAACGACGCAAAAATGACGTGAAAATTGCTATTTGTAGATCACTCAAAAAGTATGACGAAATGATCGTTGGTTAGATTTGCTTCAATCTTTGATATTGTGTAGACTTTTTGCAGACAAACAAAAGTTAAATTACCCAAAAAGTCGAAACTGGCCTGCGTGACCTTTTTTCGGGGCCCGAAAGGTCACAATGTCAAAGGTCACGGAGCCACATAAATGGGGTATCGTTGGAAAGGTCTAGACGAGTGGATTCAGAATATATATACTTTATGGGGTCTGGGACCACCCCCTGCAAGTCTAGTGAGGAAAGAACCAAAATCTGCAGTTGTCCAGAATTTAACACAGTAGTGGATTGGGAGCTAACACGGAAGCACAAATGGGAAAAACTCAAAAGTATTCTCCCGGCTCTATATTTGCATGGAGTGGTCCTATAGCACAGTAGTCCTGTAGCTACGGTCCTGTAGCTCCCACTGGCACATTGGATTGTCATTGACGCAAATCGAACATATCTGTACATATGGTAAGCATTGGCACATTAGTTTGGAGACAAATCTCATATGAAATGAGACAATGTTCGTAATAACGCTGCACATGTATGTACTTAATAAACACCTCTCAATTACAGAATTTGAGCATATGCATATGTATGTAAGTAATTATTTATAAAATATCCAACTGTTACTTTAAAGGTTAATTGCCAATCAAATACTTAAGTAATCCTTGAAAGTACTACTCTATACCGGTTCAGTTCTTTCGGCCTCTACCCGTACATTTTTACATGTATTTATGGGTACACGCAGAAAGTCTTAAAACAGAGATAAGCTCGGATCCTAAAAGATCAAGGGTTTTAGCTACTAAATTAAAAATTTAGTCCCACGCTCCATTGACTGTGACGGTATACAGTTATTAACACATACGAGGAGGATGAGCATTGTTTCGATTTAGTGTAAATATTTTAGCTTTCCTGCCATCAATTTCAATCATTTCCTACCATCAGTAAACTAATTGATGAAATACATTTTATTTTCTGATACAAGTTTCATAGCTATACTTACAATGGAGGTCTCCCAACGTATGCTCACAGATTTGGACGAAATTAGTGTCAATCGATCACAAATATAATTAATATGAAATTTGCAAATAGAACTATCTGCCAATGCGCAGGTTTGGCGGAGATATTTGCATAAAAAGAGGAGAAAACGCACCAAACGGCTGGCATATTTTTCATTTTCCAAATTTCCTGTGCATTTTTTCTGCCTTGAATGCAAATATCTCCGCCAAACCTGCGCATTGGCAGATAGTTCCATTTGCAAATTTCATACTAATTTTATTTGTGATCGATTGACGCTAGTGTGGTCCAAATCTGTGAGCATACGTTGGGAGACCTCCATTGTTAGTATCGGTTATTGTGTCACAAAATAAACATGTGGGTAAACTTAATGTTATCTATTATAGCATTCAAAAATGAACTTTAGTCCTACGTAATTTGATTGATGATTTATTGTACCACTGTTTTAGGCCTTCTGCCCGTATGGCACCACAATAAAACTATGGAAGTAATTTAATGTCTCTCCAAAACAATGGAAATTACCCTCCGAATATTTAAGAAGTAACCTAAATGGAAAGCAACCTCTTAATGCTCTAAATTTTCCCTCCCGTTAAATGGAAGTAGCCTCTCATTTTGCATATCACAAATCTGTGTAAATTTCTTATTAGTGATGGGCCTACCTACCATACTCAAAATAAGGTAGTAATGAATCATTACCATGCGGAACGACTATGTGGCTCTACCACGTAGGTTACGATTTGTAGTAGAAATGGTAATAATAAGTTCAGGGAAATTCAAGTTTAATACATAATGGTATTAACTTCCTTAATATTTGGTAATGAGTTTGAATTTCCCTGAAATTATTATTACCATTTCTTCTACGACAAATCGTAACCGACGTGGTAGAGCCACATAGTCATTCCGCATGGTAATGATTCATTACTACCTTATTTTGAGTGCAGAGTACGGTTGATTGTGTTCTTAAATATCCTAAATATTTATGTAACTTCATATTCTTTCATGTGAAGCAAGTGTTAATCGCCAATTTCACTGGGCCGAATTTTACCTTTTTAAGACATTTTCTGGAAATCTCAACCCTATAGTTAGTTCGATTTTGCTGTGCTGATGTGAAAAAATCTACATGCACGTGTATCCGTTTTTTTACGAACGGGTACTGTATGTTTGTAAAGATGAACTTCGTCTAAATTATAAAATAATTTTTCGATGTGAACACAAAACCTGTACCAAGCGGAAGCGTGGAGGACCTGTTAAGTCCACAACAGCTTTGATTACCATGTGGTTTTAAAAAATGCATGCTTTTATGGAAGCCTCAACTTTAATTGCATATAAATGATACGTTTTTTATTTAAAATCCTAAAATTTTGGGTTGTAGATATGTACATTATTTTAAGAGGTAGTTTGCCACCAAAACCCTAATTCAAAAATAACTTTAGGAGGCAGATATCCATGAAGGGTACTTCTGAAATATTTGGAGGGTACTTCCCATTTAATTGGAGAGGCTTTAAATGCATGCCTAAAACTATGTATTCATTAGGTAGTATTGACGTGTTACATATCAAGACTCCTGTTTTTCGAATATTACGAATTTCGATGAATGAGATTAACAAACAGGGTTTCATTTTTCCCGTCAAAAACGAGTTTTTACCACGGCAGTGGGAAAAAGTGGTAAAAACCGGGAAAAACGGTTTTTACCGTCCAAAATGGGAAAATATGGCTGCCCATGTATTAAGTTATGGGGAAAGCTAACTTCTTTAATAATCAATATTTTCGGAATTGGACTTTATATTCGTCATCTCCACGAATTTCTGAAAATTTTGATATGTAGTACGGGCAATTTTGATAAGGTTTAATTATTTTTCCAATTTTCCCATATGAACACATGTTAATTTTAGAGATTGTTTGAGTTGAACCGTATTACCAACTAATTTTCTCAGAATTTGAAGGAGAATACGAATATGAGGTCAAATTTTGAAAATCTTAGGTTTTAAAGAAGTGGTTTCGGATTGCCCTAAAACTGAGTTTTTCCCATTTCTTCCATTTCCCATCTATTTTATGTGGGTGGTAAAAAGTTCCTTTTTCCCACTTTTTACCACTCCACTGGTCAATTTGGTTTTTATCAATCGAAACCCTGTTAACAAACCAATTTTACAATTTCAATCAAGACCAGATAACAACAAGATGATTAATATAATGGTTTGCAGGACAAAGTTTCATCAAGCTACAAAAGCATTAGGACGTTATATGTAACAAAGTAACCGGAGATGTGTGCTTTAAAATACCTAAGGCGAAGTTTTGTTGGTGGTGAGAAGGTTCTCATAATGTCAGTACAAATCATATTTAAAAATATATGACCAAATATCCAGCTGTGGGCCATAGTTTTAGTTCTTAGCAACTAGTTTGGAGATTTGCGTTACAAGACTTTCGAGGTCTTCTGAGTCAGCAAAGTCGTTAATGCTCATCTGCACCTTTCCTTTAAACAAGGTGGATGTTTTGTTCTTAATCTCAATCATCATTAACGAATCCAATCCTAGTTCAGAGAATTTACGATTGATCCCATTGTTGTGCTCCAGTTGTAGAACCGAGGATACAATTTTCCCCACATGATTTAAAATGACGGAATTTCGATCGGTTTCATTTTTGCATGCATTAAACTCCACATAAAACTTCTCAGAACTGACGACGTCAAATTTCTTCACCACAGCTTTAGCACTGTGGTTTACCTCAGATTTTAGTATATCTGCTAAAAAGTTTGCAGTCCAAGGAATCCGTTGAACTAAACTGGTAACATTCATAGAACTTGGGCAAAGTTGAACATTTTTTGAGTGTAGAGCAAGTTCCAAAGCAATCAGAGCTTGTTTCGTGGACATGGGGAGAAGTCCAGAAATATGTTGTCTCAGTCCGACTTCACCCCATTGGCCAAAGTTCAAAGAAATAGCCGGAAGACCTAGAGCATGTCGATAATGGGCAAGTGCATCCAAGAACGCATTTGCAGCTGCATAATTTCCCTGCCCTGGGTTCCCAATTAATGAACTAATGGAAGAGAACAGCACAAAATGCTGCAGATGTAATGTTTTAGAAAGTTCGTGAAGATTCCATCCTCCCTGGAATTTTGGGCGCAGAACTTTCTGTAACGTTTCCTTGGTTTGGTAATGTTAAAATATGCATGTTAACAAAGTTTTCCATATTTATCAATTTTTAAGTTTGTCGACTTTTATGAGGGCTGAGCATTTTCCAACCTTTTTCCCAGGACAAGGGATTAAAAGGGTCCTTTTGTTTTTATGCCTCATTAGAAGGGACACTTCGTTTGAGCATAACTCTGCGTAGTTTGTATGGTCACTTCTGACCACATATTATTACATATGTATGAATGTCTCCTATGTACTGTCAAAACCTTAAAACCAAGTTGTTTAATAAAAATCACCATCAGTCTAAAAATATCTTCCAGCGAGATCATTTTTACTTTGAGGTAAAGGAAAGCGGCGTCAGATAGAACTCCAGAACAATGAAATATGCCTCGAAGTGGTGATTCAGGGAATTTCTCTTTTGTGAAAGAAAACATAGATTCACAGTCAGACAGCTTGCTTACGTCACCACGTCTCCAAATTAAGTGAAATCCTGTACAAAATAAATTAAACTCTATTGGCAACACTGCTAAAAATTCTTCACCCTGCACTTAACGGTTTACAACCTCAATTATAACTTACCGCGATCAGTAAGGGAATTAATTTCACTCTGACGCTCCAGCGATGGAATTCGTCTGCCCATTAGAAAAATCCGCTTCGCACCATTATGCAACATCCAATTCATCAACTCCCAGCCGATGCCTCCACAGCCACCAGTTATGAGATAGCTACTTTTGTAATTGAAAAGTTTATTTTCCTTGTCAGGCATGCTAACAACTACTTTTCCAATATGTTTCGCCTTTTCAAGGAATGATAGTGCATCTCGTATTTCTTGGGATTTGAAGTGGACATAAGGCAAAGGCTGCCATAAGCCCATTGTTATGTTATCAAGCTGGGACGGGATGGCGGAATTTTCTTCTGATAAGCTCAAATTTTAGACGGAATATTTGACATCGGGCCGAAGCGACATGCAGTCCTCCGCTGTCCAAACGTTGATTTTACTCATTTCGATGAATCTACAAAATTCCATGCAAATTTTAACTAGGGCACATTTTTTAGCTACAAATTATACCTGCCCCCCTTCCTTAGACAATTGAGGGAGGCTTCCTTGAATCCACGACCAGTTAAGGAGTTAAGAACAATGTCGACTCCAGCTCCATCAGTGGCAGCACTTACGTCAGACTCGAATGACAAGTTCCTCGAGTTGAAGACATGCTTTATTCCAACTATATTCCTTAGGTACGCTCTTTTCTTTGAAGTTCCCGCCGTGGCTATGACATTTGCCCCAACTGTATTTGCCAATTGCACGGCGGCTAACCCTATACCACCGGAGGCGGCATGAATTAGTACAGTGTCGCTCTTTTTAATCTTAGCCACAGTACATAGGCATTGATAAGCGGTCAATGAAACAGTTGGCAGTGTCGACGCTTCTTCATGTGTGAGAAAATTGGGAAGCTTGCAAACCATCTGTTTTGGTTTAAGCAGACAACAAATGAAGTATTTGCAAGATTTAGAAAAACAAATATAACTCGACTACTTACATTTTCAGAAGTGATAATATGTGAAGATAGTGCCACATTTTGGTGATGACATCCAAAGACCATGTCTCCAACTTGATACTTATATACGGAGCTTCCAATTCGGCTTATAACTCCTGAAAAATCACTTCCAATAATATTGATTTTAGCAAAAGCATCAATGGGTTTAAGTACGGCGAAGATGTCATGAAAGTTTAACGAATAAGCATTGACTTTGATTTCTAGTTCGTGCTCCTCCAACTCAGCAACCGGAGACAATTCCATGAACGTGAGATCTGAAATGATATTCGAAGCGGGAAGCCGTAGACTAAATCTGGATGCTTTTGGCATTTGAAGAAGGGTGGGACGTTTCAGCTTCACCAGTTTTTGAGTCAGTCGAACTCCTTCTCTGTAGCAAATACTGTTACCCCCAGTTTCAACGGTCGGATCTTCATAAATTTCTTGAATAATATTTTCAATGTTCGTGTGATTCAGGGAATCCAGATCAATTAGTTTGCAAGTGAGCATAGGATTCTCGGATTTAAATGAACGAAGCATTCCTATAAGTAAAGAACCGACTGGTTTTTGTTCAAAAGTTGCTGCATTAGGAGATATGGCATGTACCCCTTTGGTTAGAAGAAACAATTTTGATAACCTCCCTGAATAAATGGTTATTGCCTGAAGTAGGAAAAGCCAATTATAAATTATCGCGTCATCCAACGCCGACTTTAATCCCCATCCAAAGATGATTCCCTCGATTTCAGAAAACTGAGATAAAACCTTCATGAATTCCTCTTGGCTGTCACCCATCGTTTCAAAATATTCGATGGACATTCTTTTCTGCAGGCCAATTGATATTAGGGTAACATTGTCTCCCGATACGCTGAGTTGTCGCATTAAGTCCTTTGTAAAGGTGTCGTGTAATCCGAAAATCAACCACTTTTTGTTTTTCCCACAGACCGAAGATATTTGGCTTGGACTTGAGATTGGGGCTGACATTGAACCTTTTGTCCACTCCAACTCAAATATTGGACACTGAATACCCTGATTAAGGATTGAATACATATTATCGTCCAAACTGGTGAAGACGGTTCCAAGAAAATCAATTCCATCCATGGATGCTAGAATTTTTCCTAAGTAATTGTATAAGTATATTGTCCTTTTGTTATGACATTGCTTTAGATAGAATTGTAAAGTTGAATCGGATTGTTGTTGTTCTTGGTTCATGTTGTGAACTTTTAGACGGCGAATTGCGACAGGAAGCATGATAGTGCCTGCAGGGTCTTCGGACGGTGTTGGGTTTTCCATGCACATTATAGCAAACTGTAGCATGCTGTCTAACACCAAAGGATGCAATATGAACTTCTCATCTGAAAAATCATTAATTTACTTATTTAGAAGTGAGCCAATCAGAAATTTAGCTACAATTGCTATTGATTTACCAACGTCCTTGAGGTCAAGTTTCACTTCGGCATACTTATTGAGCATCTGATCCTCCCATATGGACTTAATGCATCGAAATGACTGTCCAAAATTATACCCTTTGGTTGCTAATCGTTCATATATGGTTCCGGCAGAGACTTTTCCCGTGGCGTGATTGTGTGAAAATATATCGTCAGAGCTGTCTAGATCCTTCGACAAGGTTTCTAGAAATGTTCCTTGTGAATGAAGAATCCATGTGTCCTTCTAAACCGAGCTATAAATCTTAACCACGTTTTCCTCCAATACAGCATGGTACGTTGATCGTTTTTGCGTAAGGTAGGCAGGGGTTTGAATACTAAAATTGTCAATTATCAACTGATTCAGAATTCGACTTTGCGTCAGGCAACCTGACGCCAAACTCATCTCAATGAACCCTGCGGCTGGCATCAAGGGCCACTGCCCGATACGATGATCTCCGATCCAAGGGTTGGACTTCAATGTTATTATATTTTCAAATCTATGGGCCTTCACATCCCCAGATCCTGGTTGTTCTACCTGTTTCCCTAGAAGTGGATGCACTGTATCCTTCGTTAAAGAAGGGGAATAGTCCGCGGGTTGAAAAGGGAACCAATACGGCTTTCTTTGGAACGGGTAAAACGGGAGGGAAACCTTCTTCTTGTAATGGACTTCATGAAAATTTTCAAATTTTATTGGAACACCTTGCACAAACAAGGAACCAAGAGCTTCTTGAAATACTTCCAGTTCGTTGCAACACCTCCGCATAGATTTGATACATTGAGGCATCAATGATATGTTTGAGTGAACTAAAGCTGAAAGAACGGGATGTGCCCCGACTTCAAGAAAGATGTATTGTCGACCAGAATTATCTTGTCGGATGTGGTTTTCGATAGTTTTGGTGGCTTCAATAAATTGAACATGGTCTCTCATGTTAGATATCCAATATTCAGTAGATAAACTGAATTTTAGGGTACCATCAACGCTTGAAATGTATTTACAAGTTGGCTGTACGAATTCTTGTCGTAGGGTGTTTAAAATATCCTTGTATTCATTTAATATTGGGTCTAAACCTCTTGAGTGAAATGGGTGTGAGGCATCTAAGATTTTCGCTCGCACTCCATTCTGTTGACAAAATTCTGCAAACTCATCAATTACAAGAGGTAAGCCGGACACTGTAGTTTGTTGTTCGGAGTTGATTGCGGCAATATCCAGCCAGTCTGCGTTTGTAGCAGTTCGTGACTTTCGTGACAAAAATGTATCAAGAAGTCCCGTACAGGTGTAATTGTCCGCCCTGACAGCTAACATTTTTCCTCCAGGGAGTTTGGCGATTAGCTTGCATCGTGTGCCAACCATCGTAAGTGCATCCTCAAGTGTTAATAGTGAGGCGGCAGTGACTGCAGCTATTTCTCCTAAGCTATGGCCAACCACAATTGTGGGATGCACTCCTAATGACGCATATAACTTAAACAGACAAAATTCAATAACAAAAATAGAACACGAACAGTACAGCGATTGGCTAAGGCAATTCGGAGATATTCCCTCTCCCCAGAGTGCATTTTTGATGTCAAGGTCAAACATTTTGAAAATCAATTGCACGCAGAAGTCAAAATGTTCCTATAAATAAATTAAAAAAAGTTTCTTCATGCAACGTATGCAAGATGATGAGTATCAAATAAAATCTACTTACTCTAAAAACTGGGAAGGTGTCATAAAGTTGACTACCCATTCCCTTATATTGGGTTCCCTGGCCTGGAAAAAGGAAGCAAATCTTTGGTTCCTTCTCTACAACTCCGTAGGACCAGTTTTTCGTGTCCAGTTTTTGTATCAATTCTGCATTGCTTCTAGCCGTGATTGCAACTCTATTTGTAAATTTTGCTCGCCCAACATTGGCCGTGTAGGCGATGTCATCCAACTTCACTTTCGCGTTTTCAGACAAATGCGTCCTGTAAGTGGCAATAAGTTCAAACAAAGCTTCTTTTGATTTCGCCGATAGTGTTACAATATTACTCTTCATATCCGTACTAAGAGTATCTGCATTATATATTGATTAAGGAGCTTCTTGTACAATAATGTGCGTGTTCGTCCCAGTAAAGCCGAACGAGCTTATTCCCGCAACTTTTGGTGTGCCCATTAACGTTCGCCATGGCCAATGACCCTCTAGGGGTATAGTGGCAGGAATAGTTGTCAAATCAATTTCTGGATTTAAAGTTTGAATTTTGATTTGCATAGGAATCAGATCGTTCTTCATAGCCAATGTTATCTTTATTAGTCCAGAAATGCCACTTGCGCTTTCGGTGTGACCGATATTTGCTTTCCCCGCGGTTATAATTAATGGGTCTGCCCTCTCCGAAGTGGAGTATGCCTTTGATATAGCCTTTATTTCTAGCGGATCCCCTTTAGCGGTTCCAGTTCCATGTGCCTCAACAACTTGGATTTGTGTCGGCTTCATTCCAGCATCACGCATGGCAAGTTCCATTGCTAATGCTTCCATTTCTATTGTTGGTGTTCCTACACTTTTGGTTTCGCCCTCTTAAGTTGCACCGTACCCCATAATGAGGGAATGAATTCGGTCACCGTCTCTAACTGCGTCACTCAATCTCTTCAAAATGATGGCGCCAATACCTTCTGACCTCGCAAATCCGTTAGCAGCAGAATCAAACGTTTTACATCTGAAGTCCTTGGACAAGATGACGTCATTCTGGAAGGTGGGCTTGATTATGAGATTTGCAGTAGCCGCAATTGCAAGATTGGAAGCCCTGCGTCTTAGATCTTGTACAGCTTGACCGACCGCAACAAAAGAAGATGAACAGGCAACTTCAGTTGCAAGGTTTGGACCTTGTACCTTGTAAGTGTGTGCCAACCTTGCCGATCCTGCTGCATAGCTGTTTCCCATATACCATCTTAGCTCACCGGTAGATGGAGGTGCAAATTGTTTTATTAAATCGCCATAGTCTGTTGTCCAGCATCCTGAATATATGCCGGTCATACTACCAGCGAGAGTTTGTGGATTTATCCCAGCATCCTCAAGCGCTTCCCATGAAACCTCAAGTAGAAATCATTGTTGTGGGTCGGTGAAATTACATTCTGCGGGACTCATTTCAAAAAACTCGCCGTCAAATTCCTCTATAGGGCAAGTTAGAAACCCGCACTCCATTTGACTATTTTCCATTGTGCCAATTTGATCAGTAGACGAACGCCCATCAGGGTGGGGCCGAATGACACATTTGGCATCCAAATATGTCTTCCAGTACTCTTCCACGCCGTTAGAATCCGGCATTCGACATGACATTCCAATAACGGCAATAGGCTCAGTACCAAATTGCGATTTAGAGTAGCGCACTTGTTTAATTTTATGTCGAAAATCAAACAAGGCCTAGGTAATTACATATATTGATATATCACAAATTTAGACAATATAAATATGGAAAGTTTTACCCTTGATTTATCCTGTAACTGGTTGATAGGGTTTCCAAGAATAACTATTTTTGTGGATGGCTCGAGGTCGCTAATTATATATGTAATTAAAACTAATAAGTGATTCGCGACTTCCTAAATATATACAACTCACAATTCCTCGTTTTTTAAATCAGCCACAAATCGTTTATCCAAGTATATCCCTCGCGACTCATTAACCAACATATCTTTCAGATTAGGAAATATGCGTTCAGGTTCCAGCACTACAATTATGTTTGCACTTTAGTCCACGAATTCGTTAGACAGTTGAAATATAAGTTACCGTTCTTCAGAGAATCAATCAGGTGCCCAGTAACATCTGTGCCAGGTTGCAAAATAAACAATCCACTCCCAAAAACAATCTTGGCAGGATCCAATGAGAATAACGAATCGCTATGTTTCAAAACCTGCAAACGTAAAGATTTAATAAATAATAAGCACATCGCTATAAATTTATTTGTAATTTGTTCATGTATATTTTCAAGCTTCCTGATTTAAAAGAATTGGCGCATTCAGATAATATTTCATCGAAATTACCAGGGCAGAAGGATCAATCAAACAAATACGGTCAAAGTCCAAAAGTGTTGAGCAAGTGAGCAAAAGTTGACTCCAAAAATCCACTTTTAGTTCTGGAAAACTTATCAATTGAACCGCATCATCGAACAAGTTGGCCAACTTTGTCCTAAAATTAAGTTCAGGAAATGTTAAAAATACGACGCAGGAATTACAGCACATATCCGATAAAAATATATTTTCAACTAGAATGCTAGCATTGCATTTTAAAAATTAGACCATTTCTGTACGCATTTGTTATGAAGAATAGGGTCTACTTGTAAAGTATAAACCATAATGATACAAAATGAGCCAAAAGTGCAAGTCTTTTTCGCATCGATTTCACCAAATTGCACATAAAAAATTACAAATTCAGTTTTGGGTGGGGGGATTAATATAGCATAGCTGTTTTTGAATTATATTCAACCACACCCCCTTCAAAAATTGGGGAAGAAAATTGGGAAAAATGAGAAGGTCAATGTACACTCGGTACAGAAAGAAGTAGATACCAACTTGCATTTGACATTTGACTTCCCTCATGAATATGAACATTTTGATGCATCAAGACTTTCAAAATTCGAAAATTGGCGGTTTTTCGACCTACATATAAATCGTTAAAAAAGTGACCTTAGCGGTCATTTCGCGGCTGACAACCTGATGCCAGATTTTTCTTCGTCAGAAGTGCCACATTTTCCGCTTTTGTTGTCCGCTGCGAAATGACCGCTACCATGACTTTTTTGGGGTCAAAGTTTCTGAGGGAGGGGCTTATACGGCAGGAGCCGTAACAATGTATAGGTATTTATGATATACATAAAGGTAATTACATAGAAGCTATTAAAACAGCCTCAAATCGCCCCAAATTTAAAACTTAAGCTTTTCTGAATTTATAATGATGATATGCATTCGAAAATTAACGCTATGAGGCTTATCAACGAAGTTATCAATTTTTCAGATAAGCAAATTTAGTTTATCCAAATCGCCCCAAACTTAAAACTTAAGCTTTTCTGAATTTATAATGATGATATGCATTCGAAAAGTCGAAATTGGGGGTGGTGGTGGTGGCAGGGGCGAAATTGGGGGTGGTGGTGCAGGTCGCTGCTGCGTGGGGGTGGAGTGAGCCTCCATGTTGCACTTTTTTTAAATATTTTATTAAAAAAACTTCCACGTTTTTTAAATTATTTTTATTAAAAATTCGGAGAATTTTATCAACTGAACCAACTCGTGTAAGAGATGAAAAGCATCTCAACACGAGTTGGTTCATAATCCCGGTAAACAATTTGAAGAGAGTGAGAAGTGAGACGGACCACCATACGGCACTGGCAACGACAGTCAGCGGTGGTGGTGGATACCCACCAGAATCCGGGTCTCACTCTGCCTTTCGCTAAATAATGGAAACTGCGTTTGTGAAACGGTTGGGCTGGTTCAGCTCTAATATGTCTAGTCCACTTGTATACAAAATCTAGTAGTTAATTGCTTCTTACGTTCTTATTAGATCTCAGCATGTGTTCATATCATAATTGTTTGCATTGTTTTGTTCAATAGAGAATGAACTAATTATACATTCATAAATCAATAAGGTCATAAAAACGGAGTGAATTTTTTTTTCTAAATTTCATAGTAACTGAATAATTTTGTCTATCGATTATTCATTATTTACATTATGATTACATCATGGGGAACATTGAGGAATCAATCGAATAAGGCGAATTTGAGATAGAACGCATCAACGAATTTAAAATAAATATTTATTTTCAAATTTTGAATAAATGAATGATGACTACCTTAAATAATTTCTCTCTTTTTTAAATAGAATGTATTTTGGGTGAGGAACTATTTTTCGAATATTTACAGTGCACCCATCTTTATATTTAACGATCCATTTAACTACCATCCTATACGGTAAACATTTACAACACAACGAAAGATCACATTGAAACAAGTAACAAATAAACCAATAATACTTCCTGTTACATTATTCAAAGTAATAAAATTAAGAGCACTACGATTATTTATTAATATAGATATACCACTTACCACGAGCTGATTCCAATTGTAGGATCATACAAAATCACAACTTTTTTAAATGTTTTTGTTTCTTTTATGGATTTCAGTAAAATTACGGCGTCTTCTACTTCACTGGCGCTGCAGGCAAAAGTTGCGTACGCTTCTTTCCCCATTTGTATAACAATTTGATTATTTTTTTGTGAAAGAGATTTTTAACACAAAAAAGTTGGTTATATTTTGTGAAAAATGCAAACACAAAAAAATGTTGATTTGAAGTGAAGTGAAGTGAAGGTATGCAAGATTATATACGAATAGCCTTGTTTTTGAGCTTCTCCTCTATTTATTGAAGATTCCAAGGTCTCAGGTCTAGAGGGTTGGCAGTTTAATCCGGTAGATGGAGGATTCGATGTATTAATTAACCGGAATTTACATAAGACTTCTTATAATGTTCCAGACGCGTGGTTTTTATTTTTATTCATTCGTGTGAATGATGCATGCAAATAAATACATAAAAGAAGCAATTGCTTGTGTTGGTGCAAAAATTGAATGTTACTTGATGTGCATGAAAGGAATTAAAAGTAATTTCATGCTCACGTAACCCTGTCGACTACCTTAATTTTTACTTTTTTATGGCCTTGTAGATCAAATCTGTAATTGCTGATGTCTATGGCCATATGTATACATATGCAAGTACATGCATTCTCACTGCGTAATATGAAATTTAATGTTTAGCTGATAAAGTCTGGAATTTCCAACCAAAATTAGAAGTCATCAGACGTTGGTTTAGGTAAATAGAAATTAGAAGCTGTTAAAAAAATTTGTCACAATGCAGGTTTTTTACATGTAAAAGTCAGATTTTACTGGGACCATTTTTACCTTGTCCACCATACTCGGATTTTGGCATATTTGCATCTATCATAATGCGTTAATTTTAGTTCGAGGCGCGAATTTTAAACTTTGTACAGCCAAAATCTCGGGTATTCAAAACTCGGAAATTTTCGAATTTTAACAGGAATTCAGAAATTCGAAAACATGTTTCATTAGTACGATGCAGGTACCTGACTTATTATAACTCCATTTTTCGCGAAATTATAATGTCAAAATGTTTACAAGTTTTTGAAATCCATGTAATAACGAACTCTTTAAAAATTTTAAATTTTCAAAAACTATTACAGGAAGATTTATAATAAGTCAAGTAACTCATTCTGAACTGAGATGTGTTCGAATTTTTGAATTCGCAGCATAATTCGAAAATTTCCAGGATTAGGTATATAAACCAAAGGTTTTGGCTGGAATATATTTCACTCCTTGTGGTTAAGTTAGTACATTATGAAAAATGCAAAAACACGGACATGCTTATTTTCTGTGGTGGACAAAATAAAAATGGTCCCATGGAAATCTGAGTTTTACATGTGAAAGACATGCATTGTTATCAACAATTTGTTAGTCAGGATGCAGATACAGATCTGACCGTGTCTGCAT